AGTAGGGCCGTAAATGAAACGAGACAGATCGCGAGTTAATCAAGATCGATTTGATCAAGTCTCGATAAATATTCGAACTGAATGGACTCGACTCGAGCTTGAGCTCGACTCAAATTCTTAACGAGCTTAAAAGAACTACTTGATATTTGACTCGAAAATCTCGTGAGCAGCTCGAAAATATAATATATTAAGATTTTATTTTTTAAAAATATATTAAGATTTTATTTTTTAAAAATAAATTATTAATAATATTAATATTAATATTTATGTATTGATTTTTTAAAAATATAATAAGATTTTCATATATTTAAGGTGCATGTTTGAGTTCGAGTTTGAAGTTTTAATTGAGTTGGGTTATAAATAATTTTCTTCATTTCGAGCCTTTTCGAGCTGATCAAGAGCTTCAGTTCAAGATTTCGAGTTCGAGTCAAGCTTAAAAATGTTAAACTCGTGAGTTTTCGAGTCGAGTCGAGCTCTATTTCAGAATTTTCGAGTCGATACTTAAACTCGACTCGGCTCGTTTACACTCCTAGTTATATCCTAGTCATAAGAGCCAATGTGATTTTGCCACCCAAGTTCCAAATCTGCTGATTGAGATGGGTCGTGTTTTCATTTTCCTTAAATGTTTGACCCTTTCATTTGGTTTTGTTTATTATAAACAGTAATGAATTCATGGTTTATCTGTGTACTTTCTCCCTGAACTCCCTGAATTCTCTGCATTTTGTTTCATCTTTCGTTGCCCACTCTTCCGGTTCATGATCCACTGAGGTGGGTTTTTCTTCTTCTTTTTAATCCCTTTCCCCCCTTCAATATAGTGTTCCATGTTCACGTATTCAAGTGTTAGTAGTTTTTGTACAGTAGGTATTTGAAATCATGTTTCTGCTATGGTTACTCCTCTCATTTTCTCTATCTTCTTCTACATTGTCATTGTCTTGTTTCTGGGTTTATTATTTTCTGCTTTGTGAACTGGTTTTTGCTTTCCCCCATGAATTTTTACATGAACGTTATGGCCGATGATGGTCTTGCATTGCAAAAATTGAAATGTTGGGATTTTTTCTGTTCGATTTCTGATGACATTTCAAATCCCTTAAGCTTTTGATTATCATCCTGTTTTACCATTTCCCTGTTGTTTTCAAGTCATAATTGGGTTGTCACTGTAGTGAAATGTCGGTTTATTATTGTTGATAATGCTGAAAATTTGTTTTCATTCTTTTGACACTGTAGGGAACTGTATCTTATATGTGTATGTCTGCTTATACAACGGTCTAATGATTGCTTATGATTCGTTTTTTCGTTTGTTTAGAAGCAGTTCTTCTCTTTCGGTTTAGTGATGGGAACGACCGGTGACAAATCCGATGACGAATTTTCCGTCATTGGTGAAAAAGGAGGAATCAATTTCATCGATTATGCAATCGACGAATCTGTTAGTAATTTCAATCCATTTGAGGGGGGTCCTCTCGTGATCTCTACACCATTCCCATTTTCAAATGGGAATCCTCAATATATATCTGTGGGAGCAACTATTTTTGATTCCATCATTATCAGAAACACCACTGATGAGCCGGTGGAATCCTGGTAAAAATCTATGCATCGAGGCCGGAGAACTCTTTCACTCTATCTTTGACGAAACCTCCATTGGCGAACTCCGACGAAAATACAAGCGAAGAGTTCATTGAGTTCTTTGATTTAGAGGATCGAATGATACAGCCCGGAGAGACCTTAACCCTTTGGTTGTCTTGCAAATCAAAGGAAATCGGCTTGCATACTACGATAGTGCATTTTGATGTTGAGGGTGAAAGATTGGAGAGAGTGGCCTTTCTCTTGGTCGAAGACAAGATCTCACATTCTTTGGCATCTAAAAAGCCATACTCTAGAACTCAAAGAAAGAAACAATTTTCGGTCGATGAATATGTTACTGGGTCACGCCCGGCAAGGGCAATGGGTCGAGGTGCTCGAAACAAGCTTCCCTGGTATGACATTCCGAAGGATATCAGAGAACTGGTCGAGAATAAGCAAACTCCTGGTTATATAAAAGCTGGCCTTACAAGAGATAATTATGCAGCTTACTTCAAACATCTCTTAATCCTGGAAGAGTTACAACTAGAGGTAACTCTAATATTCAGTTGTGTAAATGGTTGATTATATATATGCATGATATGGAACTGAGAAATCCCTTTTTGTTGCTTCAGGAGGACATGTAACATGGAGAACATCAACTTGAAGAAGAAAGGGAAGTATTTATCACTTCAGGTCCCGGGGCTCGCTGAAAAAAGGCCCTCACTTGTTCATGGAGATCATATATTCGTTAAAATTGCATGTGAAGATGTTAACGAAGCAGCTCGAGTTTATGAGTTCTGGTTTACATGCAAAATACTATTTGCTATTTCTTTTTAACATTAAGTTACTTCCTTCCTCTTTGGCTGAAGTGTGAATTGTGATATTTGAATTATATTCTGGACAATCTGTGGCCTTCATTGTTGCTAGGTCATTCAGGTCTATATGTGGTTTAATGCTTACATGCTTATCTGTTTTTAAGGTCAAGCTTCTTGGGTTCATTAAAACTGAAGACCGATGTCCTTTTTTAGTGGATAATGCATACTTGTTATTCCGATGCCATCATCAACATAATCTGAATAAACATAATCTGAATAATACAAATTGGGTTATCTTAACTCTTAATCGTAAATCTCGACATCTATATGTTGTATGGTATGGATTCTCTGTTATCTTATTCTTATTCTTTCCCTTTCCTGTTTCATTTGTCATTCTAGTTCTTCTGGCTTTTTGACGAGTGAATGTGGTGATCTTCAGGGTTATATCCACCGGGTAGAAGCTGAGGAAGTGTACTTGAAGTTTGCACTAGAATTTCACTCGAGCCACATAGATGAAAATCTTTATAATGTGCAGTTCACGTATAACCGAATCAATATGCGGAGGCAGTACCATGCCATTGATGCTACAAAAAGCCTAGACGTAAGTCACCTTTTTCCATCTGAGTCACCCCAAAGTAGGGTGATCGAAACCACTCCGCTAGTGCCCATCTGTTGTAAACTTAATGAGGAGCAGATGTGCGCAATTGAGATGATACTCGGCTGCAAAGGAGGACCACCTTATGTGATTTTGGGCCACCAGGTACAGGGAAGACCATGACAATAGTGGAGGCAATCCTCCAGCTCTATCAAACCCAAAAGTCTTATCGAATTCTCGTGTGTGTACCTTCAAATAGTGCGGCTGATTTCATACTAGAGAAACTCCTCAATGAGGAATCTGTTGAGCTTAAAGAGAATGAAATATTCAGACTAAATGCAGCTACGCGGCCGTATGATGATTTCAAGCCGAATTTTCTTCGGTTTTGCTTCTTTGATGAGCTTATCTACAAATGTCCTCCGCTTAGAGCTCTCGCTTGCTACGGAATTGTGATATCAACATACATGAGTTCCTCCCTCCTGTATGCAGAAAGTGTTAGTAAAGGCCATTTTACTCATATTTTCTGGGATGAATCTGGTCAAACTTCAGAACCGGAAAGCATGATCCCTTTAGCACACCTTTGCCAAAAAGAGACTGTTGTTGTGCTTGCTGGGGACCCAATGCAGTTAGGTCCGGTCACATACTCCCGAGAAGCTGATGATTTTGGACTGGGGAAATCATACTTAGAAAGGCTGTTCAAACTTGAGTGTTTCTCTAATGGGGATGAAAAATATGTGACAAAATTGGTTAGAAATTACCGATGTCACCCCGAGATCCTGTATCTCCCTTCACTGCTTTTCTACAACGGTGAATTGATCCCTTGCAAAGATGACATGGGTTCGTTATTGAATTCAGTAAAGTTTCTTCCTAACAAGGAGTACCCTGTCTTTTTCTTTGGTATACAAGGCTGTGACGAGAGGGAAGGAAGTAATCCGTCTTGGTTCAATCGGATCAAAGCCAGCAAGGTTGTACAAATTGTTAATAGTTTGATAGCAACCGGGATTCTGGGCCAGGAAGATATTGGAGTTATAACCCCCTACAGGCAGCAAGTCCTCAAACTGCAGAAGGCCTTTGAGAGCCTCGACACACCTGATATCAAGGTTGGCACCGTCGAACAATTTCAAGGCCAAGAACGGAAAGTTATCATCATATCTACCGTCCGATCAACAATCAAACACAATGAGTTTGACAGAATCCATTGTCTAGGGTTTTTGAGCAATCCTAGAAGGTTTAATGTGGCCATTACCCGTGCCATAGCTTTGCTTGTTATTATTGGAAATCCACACATAATTGCCAAGGTATCAATCTTCACTTGCGGTTTTCATTTACTTTCGAGTAATCTTTAGGAAGACCTTGTGTGACTAAGAAGTAAGAAGACATAGTCAAGATCTTAGTTTATTTATACTATATTCTCAATTCTCTGGAATAATGTAGGCGAAAATTTGCTAATCCGGTATATAGATCCTCAGAGTTATTGCATGATTTCATTGTTTAGCTGGCTGATGAATCATAAATGAATGCCAGGACACATACTGGAGCCAGCTTATATGGCGTTGTGTCGATAACAACTCCTACCAGGGCTGTGCGCTGCCTGAAAAGCAGGAAGTGTATGTTGATGAAGTTTCAGCATCGGAGGAATGTCAGATTCATGATGAAAGCAGCATTGCTGACAGATGGGGTGAATACACAGCGGAAACCGAAAATGTCAAAACTTGGACGGATGAAGCCGAGTGGTCTGATGGGTGGAAATGAAACACATGAGGGTTCTTTCACTTTTATTTTATGCCATTCTTTTCATAGGGGGGCCTTTGCTTTGCCTGCTTTTGTTTTCACAGTGATAAATGTGATGAAATTAAGTGTTCACTTCAAGCGACACAATATGGCATAATGGTAAAGCAAATGGAAAGAGGACATCTTCATACACTACCATTTTGCTGATTGCAAAGTGTTTATTCACATCAATAGTATAGATTGAATGAAATTGGGAAATCTACACTACTTTCATATTGAATGCAGATTAAGCAGAAAAATCATCATCCCAGAAGGAACCAAGTTCTTTGTTTCCAAACCTGGTTTGTTGCAGAAGAAAACATAGCTTGATCTACTGATGAACTCGGCGGTGTTGGCAACCTTACAGCGGGTTCCGGAGGCAAGTCCGCCAAATCCGATGAATCATTATCTAAGCATGCAAGAATAGTTTTCATAAGGTTCTAAACCAATATAAAAAGATTAGTGCTAATGCCATTGCCTTAATATGCTTTTGATATCTGCCCATTACAAGATTGCTGCAAATGATTATTTCAGCCATGAAAAAGGAAAACAATGATTTTGGGTTTTGCTTACGAGAATTGGATGGTTTCAATGTCACTGAATCTGTGGTGCTTGGCAATGGCGGCAACGATGGTACATCTATCGCATAATCTTAATTAAGAATTGCATGATCACATTCATCAAAGCGTTAAAAAAAACTAATTTCCTTATGAAATCAAAAGATTAAAGGCCTTGAACCAGGTGAATTCTTAATCAAGAAACCAGTGAATTGAACAATTGGGTTTAAAAGATGAAAACCTGAAGAGCAGAGCGAGTCCAGAGAAGAGACGCCGTTCTGGGCCATGCAAAAAGAAGGCAGTGAAGCGACCCTTTCTTTGTTCAATGGGAACCCAAATATCAATGGCTGCCGGAGGACGTAACAGAAACAGTAACCGTCGCCGGATTTAAAAGCAGAAGCGAAGACGTCCCGGCACTGTGGAGCAACGGAGTCAGAGGCGTTGTTTGGAGGGTCCGACACGAAGGGCAGGCAGGGTGAAAACGCCACCAGCTCGTCCACGCAGCCTGCTTTCTGAGGCTCTTATGGCGGTGGCTGCGCCGCCGCAAGGAGGAGCAATAAGAAGATGTTCGTTGCCATGGCGCTGAGAGAGAGCGAGAAAGAGAAACGGTTGGTTAAGGTTGTTAATAGTGTGTTACGGAGAGGGTGTTTAAGTAAATTGGTGGAGAATGTGGCGGGAATGGACGTTAAGGTGGATCCTAATTAAAATATTTCAGTTAATTAAAATTAATTTAAAAATTATCGAACCGATCAGATTTCGGTATAAAATAATTGGTGTATTGAGATAAGTTATTAAATTTCTTAAACAATATTAGGGTTCGAATATTGATGTTGCGAATAAAGTAAATTGAGTTGATAGTGTCACTCTTATAAAAGATATTGACGGTATCTAATCTAAATTAATTGATCAATAAATCGAATATCAATAATTAAAATAATATATATTATTTAAATTTAATTATAAACAGTATATAAACATTAATAGAAAAAATATATTTATTACTTCAAAACAAAAATTGGAGACATTACAACCCAGCATTACTTGAATATTACAAATCCTAATGTTAACACCAAAAGGAATGGTGAGAAACTGTAAGAGGGGTGGGCAGCTGATGGGGAAACACCAGCCCGGCTCCCTGTAGTGGCTGTCGGAGGAGCTCCAGAGCTATCCGTCGATGATGGCGGAGTTAGCGCTGGTGTGGTGTCGGAATCCGGTGCTTCGGCTGACGGTGTCGGTTCAGGCACGACGGAACCTGTGGGGCTTAAAGATGGCGAAACTCCAGGAGAGAGTGTGGGTGCTAGTGAGATTGGACCCGGAGCAGGAATAGGCGCACCACCGGCCGCTACAAAACAAAGAAAATTTTTATTAGACACGAAACTGGGACCACCATGAGCAGGGATGAACCAACGTCACACTAAAATTTTTAAATTTCTATATAATTGAAGTAATCTTTTATATTTTATTTTGATAATCTTTCGTTTCCTAAAATTTTATTAGTTATCCCTTAATATAAAATTTTATGTCCGTCCCTAATCACCAAAGTCCATTTCAATACTCCACGTACCTTTGCATTGTAGAGGGACACCGGCCATGTTACAAGCTAAGGGAAGAGATATGGCCAGGGTACGGTTGATCGGTATCCAGAAAGGGACATTTCCGGTGACAATGAGGCACACGCAGTCCATGCCACCACTGGTGAGGTTCTTAAGAGAGTTACAACAATTCACACTCGGCGAACTCACATTCGCCGAGCTGGTGTTGGTAAGGAAATTCATGCAGGGCGTGAAGGTGCTGACCACGGTGGGAGTACATGGATTGTTGATCTGCCCATAAACAGGCAACGACAACAACATCATCATCGTCGATAAGACCAGAACCGGAACATGGTGAGAAGATGAGTTGGAAAACTCCATTGTGGTAATGAGAAGAGACCAAAGACAGATGATTGGAGTGTTGGTATGTGATGGTTGGGAAGACAAGAGGAGAGTGGGTTTATTTATACGCTGGGAATTGGGTTTAGGTAAGAAAAAGAGGTGGATTTGAAGCTCAACTACTTTAACTAATGTTGAATAAAACAACAAAAGAGATTGGTTTAGCTACGTTGCCTCACGTATGTACTTAATGGACCCTATCTTTACTTGAAGCAATCGCCCAAATTTTCCACTTGTTCCGCGTGGCAGGACACAATGTATTTTAGTATTTTTGTGCTATACTTATCTAATATTCATTGATTCCGATTCATTCACCAATTAATCTAAATTAAATATTGACTTAATATCCAAATAAGTACTTATATTATACTTTTTTTTCTCGAATAGGTGACTACAATATTTTTTAGACCATTCAGGTACTTAACGCTACTATTTTACGTGTCCGGAACGTCAACGGCGTTAATTTCTTTTGTTAAGTGACACGTGTCAGAATATGATAATTTTAAATTTTTTATATAAATTTAAAAAATAATATTATATATATTTTAAAAAAACACGTAAAATTCAAAAATAATCCCAAATCATTTCAATCCCTAAACTCACGCCAACCACAGCCTTTTGTCGTCGACGAAGCTCCACCCGACCTCACCTCCTCTCGACAACCAAACCCCCAATAAAATCGTGACTTATCGACAGTGATCGAAGTTTTATACCATGCGAACCTAGGATGAAAATCACGATCCCACGATTTCCGACGGTTAAACGGAGACAATTACGACGACGTATAACTAGGATGATAGAACTGCTTCGGGCGGTTAGTGGTAGGAATTGGGAACTTTATGGATTTTGAGGCTTTTTTGTAATTTAAAAGAATTTGGGTTTTGTTATAAATATAATAATATTTTAATATTTTAAAAAAATAATTTCAAAATTATCATATTATGACACATGTCACTTAACAGAGAAAACTAACGGTTGTTACGTCACGGGCACCTAAAGTGTCACGTTTATAACGTTAGGCACCTGGATGGTCCCAAAAATACTTTAGACACATATTCGGGGAAAAATGATATAATTTGGATACTTATTTGTATATTAAACCTTAAATATTACAAACATTCATTATGATAACCTTTTTAATTCAATTTTTTTTCATTCACAACGTCGGAATTCAAACTGTTACTCTTATAATTGATCTAATGTCTCATAAGATCAACTAATAGTTTATTTTATTTTAAGTATGTGATTAGTGTACCTTGATTGATTAGTTAATGACAACTAAATCAAAGATTAAATAATAAAATAGATAACCAAATCCATATTGTTGAAGTAGGTTCTTTATCATTCTATTGCCAACTACTTCCATTCATATATAACTATGAATATTCCTTTGCTACGCTACTAGTTGCAACTTTTTTTAAAAGATAATAAAGACGATAAGATAGATATAAGATTTTGTGTTAATAAAATAAACTCGTAAAGTTATATTAAATTTAAAGAATGAACTTAAAAGTTATAGGATTACAAAATCTAAATATAATTTTGACATTTTTGTAGACGATGGTGACTTCTTTATATTTTGACTTTTCAAAATCTACCTTCCGTTCCTAATGTTCTACCCAAATGAGTATTAGATTCGAATTTGAGGAATTTTGAATCGATATGATTTATGATATTACTTTTTTTTAAATTCGAGTTCAGATCGGATCTTTTAAGGATAAAATCGGGTCAGGTTTAAATTTAGGGTGAAAAATACTCGACCCAAGAATAATAGTAATTGACATTTATATATTTAAAGATAATTGTATACCTCCTCTTATATTTTTTTTTCAAATAGGTCCCTATTTTATTTAATAAAAATGATATTCTTTTATAAATATTGTGGTCGAGTAGGGATAGGGTGAGTGTTTTTATCTA